GCCACCCTTCTATGTGAAGGGCTTCCCTCCCGGGCTATGGGAGCAGCTGGATTTCTACATTAAGCAGGGCCTTCGCTGCACCATTCAACGGTGCACGGAAGGCTACAAACTGATGGTCCCGGCCGAAAAACACTTCAACGCAGTTCAGGCCCTCTTGGACAGAATGAAGCTGGAGTACTTCTCCCACGACATCGAGGCCACCAAGCCGCTGAAAGTGGTGCTGCGCGGGCTCCACGACATGGACACCACCACCTTAATGGACGAGATTAAGGCGAACGGCCTCAAGCCGGTCGAAGTCCACAAGATGACCCGCAGCAAGGCCATCAAGTATCGTGACCAGCTCTACCTGGTCCATCTGGAGAAGAACTCCACAACCGTGAAGGATCTCCAGACGACACGCACACTGTTCCACATCGTAGTGAAGTGGGAGCGGTATAAACCCACCCACCGTGGCGTCACTCAGTGCTCGAACTGCCTATTGTTCGGGCACGGCACCAGGAATTGCCGCATGGCCAGCCGCTGCATCAAATGCGGCAAAAACCACAAGATCGACAACTGCGACAGCATCGAGGAAGCCACTCCCACATGCGCCAACTGCGGTGCCGCCCACAAGGCCACGAGTAAGGCCTGTCCGAAGCGGACCGAATACGCCGAGATCCGGAAGAAGGCCTCGTCCAACAGCCAGCCCGGTCGCAAGAAGGTTCCAGAAAACAACGCGCAGAACTTTCCTCCGTTATCACCGGTCCAATCACGGCCAATTCCAGTGTTGCCGCCGCTCCCGCTCAACCAACAGTTGGCTGCTGCCCAGTTGGCTGCCGCTGCAGTACCCGGTCAAGCCTCCGGGCCATCGACGGATCCCCCTGCTCCGGGATTGGCCGGTACAACCGGTGAAGCTACAGACGATTCTCCGCTGTCAACGGATGAGATCGTCACACTGTTGGCCCAGGCCATCATCATCAAGCGCACCTGCGCAACAAGAACACAACAGCTCCAAGCTATCATCTCCTTCGTCGCTAATTATGGACCGTGAACCCATAAAGATTGCCAACTGGAACGCTCGCTCCGTAGGGGCGAAAAACATTGAGCTTGCAGACTTCCTCCGCAAGCACGACATCGACGTGGGCCTTCTCACCGAGACCCACCTCAAGACCGGTGACAGCTTCTGGCTGCCCGACCACAGCATTGTCCGGCTTGATCGCACCAGCTCCAGGGGGGGCGGTGTCGCGGTCATCATCAAGAAAGGCATCAAGTACTGCACCCTACCCCACTACCGCACTTCCATCATCGAGGCCGTCGGCGTTGAGGTGGAAACATCGACCGGAAACGTCCGGTTCATCGTTGTCTACTGCCCCCGGCAATGTACCGTTAGCAATGGTACAGCACAGCAGTTCAAGAACGACCTTGCCATCATAACCCGCACCAATGCCCGCTTCGTAATCGGAGGGGACCTGAACGCCCGGCACGAGGCCTGGCGGAACTACCAGCAGAACCAGAACGGCCGCCTGCTATTCGACCATTCCCAGCATGGTCTCTATTCCGTCTGGTTTCCGGACGAACCAACCTTCACATCACCGACGGGCAACCCATCGACGCTGGACCTGTTCTTGGCAAACACCAGATTAGCCAAGCCGGTTGCCGTCAACGACCTGAGTTCGGACCACCAACCGGTGCTGACCGAGCTGGGCTACAACGTGGCCCCTGCACCGTGCCAGCGGAAGAACTACCATCGAGTCAACTGGGTCCAGTTTCGACGCGTGGTCGACCGCCACATCGACGACAACCCACCGCTCGACACAGTGGAGGACATCGACCGGGCCCTGGAGGGTCTCCATCAAGCCATATCCGTGGCTGACGAAGAGTGCGTTCGACGAGTTCCTGTGAGGGGTAAGTTTCAAGCAATTGATTCCCACACCAAACTCTTGATTCGGCTCAGAAATGTTCGTAGACGCCAGTTTCAGCGGACTGGGGATCTGCAGCGTAAATACGAAATGGTCGATCTGAATCGGCAGATCGCTTCCAGAATGGTCTCAATCCGGAACGAGAGTTTCGGGCGGCTCGTTCAGAACCTGGACGACCGTTCCAGACCATTCTGGAAGGTTGCCAAGGTGCTGAAGTCTCACCCCAAGCCCATTCCACCACTTAGAGTCAATGACGAACGGCTTATCACCAACGAAGAGAAGGCCAATGCAATTGGGGAGCACATTGCCCAGTCGCATTTGCTTGGCTCTACAATCCCAAGTCCACTCGAGAACCAGGTTGTGCAGTGCGTCCAGACGTTAGATACCTCCCCTTGTGCCGTACCTCCAGAAGAACGGATTATAGAGGAACAAATTTGCTCAGCGCTGAAATATAGTAAAAACATGAAGGCTCCCGGGTTTGACGGAATATTCAACCTAGCGTTGAAAAATCTCAGCCCGAGGGTGCACTCGCTGCTGGCTGCCATCCTCAACAGATGCTTGGAGCTGCACTACTTTCCAAGCATCTGGAAGGTGGCAAAAATCATCCCGATCCGCAAACCTGGGAAAGACCCTTCACTACCGTCAAGCTACAGACCGATTAGCCTGCTCTCAGCGCTGAGCAAGCTGTTCGAAAAATTGATCCTCAGCCGACTAAACAAGTTTGTGGAGGAACATGACATTCTTCTTCCGGAACAGTTCGGGTTCCGTAAGGGGCATTCCACCAATCATCAGCTAGTGCGGGTGATGAATAACATCCGGAGTAACAAAGCTGTATCCAAGTCCACAGCCATGGCCTTGTTAGACGTCGAAAAGGCGTTTGACAATGTCTGGCACGACGGACTTATATACAAGCTTTGTAACTCCAACTTTCCACCATACCTTGTGAAAATCACCCGTAACTATCTCCAGCAAAGGTCGTTCAGGGTGTCGTTGAATAGTTCCCTTTCGGGACAATTTCCGATCCCAGCAGGTGTTCCGCAAGGGAGTCTGCTGGGACCACTGCTTTACAGCATCTACACGTCGGACATCCCTCCTCTAGGAGACGGTTGCGTGTTCTTTCTGTTTGCAGATGACACCGCGATAGCTGTCAAGGGTAGGATGCCTCGTGAAATTACGAACAAGCTCCAACGATGCCTTGACACCTTTACTGATTATGCCACCACGTGGAAAATCAAAATCAACGCCTCGAAAACCCAAGCGATCATGTTCCTTCACAGACAATCATTAAAACTTAAACCGTCTCCCTCCTGTACCGTAATAATGGATGGTACAAGGGTCGAGTGGTCCACTGATGTTACTTATCTCGGGATGTTGTTCGATGAGAAGCTCCTGTTCCGCTCGCACATAGAGAAAACCCTAGTTAAGTGCTCCGCCTTGGTTAGGTGTTTGTATCCGCTCATTTGCCGCAGATCCCGCCTCTCAAGGCAAAACAAACTGGCTGTTTACAAACAGATCATAGCCCCCGCGATCTTCTATGCCGCCCCGGTGTGGGAATCGTGCGCTCAGACCCACAGGAACAAAATCCAGGTTGCACAGAATAGAGTGTTGAGGATGATCCTAGATCGTCCATTCGACACAAGAATAGCAGACCTCCATCAAGAGGCAGAAATTCCCAAAGTAGATTCCAAAATTGATGATATGACAACTAAATTTATTCAAAAATGCAATCTTTCTGAACATGCTTTAATAAGCAATTTGTACATAGTAGGTTAAGTGTATATAGTAGAGTAGGTTAGTTTTAAGCTGTAAATAGTAGTATTAAGTAGTTTCTCTTCAAATTCTAAAAACAAAACAAACCAATCCCACCAAGGTGGTCGACCGTGTACTAAGTCTAGGACTAATTCTGTAAAACAAATTTTGAATTTTGCCCATACCTAAAGATGAAGAAAGCAATTAAATCACTTAGTAAAAATTTATATGGTAATCGTCCAAGTTAAACTAAAATAAAGATCATTTAAACTAAAAAAAAAAAAAAAAGCAAACTGAATTCAGTTTCCTTTTGACCGGCCACGAGCAAGCATCAGCAGCAGAAGAAAGCAAACCTTTGTAGAGAGAAAGAGGAGAGAAATGAAGTAGTTACTAGCGTAGCCGTTCGCCGTTTGAATAATTACCCAGCACACATCCCTGGTTCGGAGCAAGCGTTGAAACCCACCCCCAGCTCTTTTCAGAGCTCAAAGAGTTCGATTTAGATCGACGCTTGCCTCCTCCACCAATCATTGCCGATACAGTCCACTGCCGAAAGGGAAAGTGCCTTCCCAGACCGAACAGTTTTCTTAAGGAAATGACCGAGGCACTACTAAAATAATCTAAGTAAAAGTATGGACGCCTCGTAATGTGGGTAGATCACTTTTTCGTGTTACGTTAAGGGATGTAAGATCTACCATCGATTTCTAGTTCTGACTACTTCAAACTAGGAGAACAGGGTGTTTTAATCATACCAACTAAGTAAAATCTAAATTGTCACCTTTTAACTCCCGGATTCAAGCTTCTTGCAATCATATGACATGATTGCAAGAAGATTTTATCCATATAAGGCTGTCCACGAGACAGTTGCGATCAGCTGAATTTTTTGTTTACCAAGTTCTTTGACAGATCACGGTAGAACTGGCAGTTTATTCTCATATGAATTTCTGCTTTGTTTATGTTTACATTCAGCACCATTAACACCAGATCACTCACACACTCTTGATTTCTAGCTGTCAGTTCCACTGAGAAACGTCTCTTAGATCACCTTATTTCCACTGCCAGGCATTGGGAGTGGGATTGTAAATACATACATACATACATACAATAAAGAGTGCGAGTGAGATACTAAACCCAAATGTATGATAAAAGAACTAAAATTTTGAGTAGTTTTATTTCGCCCTAATAAAAAAAATACTATACCCGAAAGATAACCCAAATGATAGAACTATTCCACAAATGGTTTGGATGATACTCCGAACACCTTGTTAAGCAAAATAACTATGAAGTGTATTTTCAATAAGTAAATATCATTGGGGCCATTAATTGATAAACCAGTAAGTTTTAAAATAAATTAAATTATTCACGAATCAGCGTACCATGAACTCGTACCCTGAAACGGCAATGTAATAGAAAATGATTTAATAAAATAAAATACAAGGAAAAAATATTGTCTAATAAATTACCTATAAATACAAGTATAATCTGCTCCATGATTCGACAGCACACTTATCCTGAGCTTTTGATATGCTACCGATGACATTGAAGTAAAATTGTATGTTTCTAAAAAATCTGCTAGAACGTCAAATTCAAAATTTCCAAAGAAAAAATCGTCAGAACCTGTGGAATCTGAATTTGTTCCCTGAAAATATAATTCATATGAAAATAAGTTCAAAATGCGAGCAATAATTTAATTACCCATATTGAAAATTTCTTCATAGCACTTTGACTAGACAAGTCAGAAATAGGACTTCTGGGTGTGTGCTCCACTGTTACACCATCTATTAAAACTTTCCCCATAAGCTTAATTACTATAACAGCTGATGACCCATAAAATGCTTGACAATTTCCTGTGCAGTCATTCTGAAAGACATAGTTCATAGTTAAAAAACCCAAAAGAAATCGTTTAGTAAAAAAAAAACTACCTGAATGATACAGCAATGTTTGTTCGTCACTTTAAATCTGCCTATACCCAACCCGCGCTCAATGAAAGACCATATCTGAGAACTCCTCTGACTTGGAATCACACTGATCACTCTACCACCCAGGTCAGCCGAGGCGTAATCGGTTCTTCCGAATTGGTCGAAATTGATCTTTTCCAGGAAATCCACACGGGTCTGCAAAACGTCTATAATTTTTCGAGCTTCTTGAATTTCAGTTATCACTTGGCCTCGAAAGTTGCGATTAGTAATATGATGCTGGTTACTGCTTGTAGATTCTTCTGATGAAACTCCATATGGTGAAAATATATGTTTCTGAAATTGAAGGTATGGTTGCATCATGGTTGTATAATTTTTAATCACACATTTTTATTGACGAATTTCCATGTGAAATTCCATATGATTTTGATGTGATCACACATAAACAGAATCCGGCCATTGGAATTTATGAGTCAAATGAATAGTATGTGTGGTTACACATGGCTTTAATGTGCACACATATTAAGTATGTGTCCGACACATAGATATCATTTGTTGATCACATTGCAAAAAATCATGTGTGAGACACATAAAAACAATCTTTGAAATTTTATCAGTATAGGGTTGATGCATATATTATGTCACGCTCAAGGGGGGTGGGGTAGGTGGTGACAAGCAATACATCTCCTCAATTTAGCGTGACATAATTAATGCATGGGCCCTTTGTACAAGACACTGAAGAAGTCTGCACATTCTATATGAAATACACGTATCTGTCAAGGATAAGCAAATAAGGTAGTGGAATTAAATAAAAATTACAAATCCTTCTTATCTTAAAGCAAAACAGGTACATGCCTGCACAGCAAAAAAAAAAATGTTGTTGAATATTACATCGAAACTGCTGCAACCAGGTCAATCCATCGGTTGTGTAATATCACATTGCACGATGTACATCGATTTTGCGAACAAAATTACATCCATTGATGTAATATTGTATCTGCTTTTTGCTATTACATCATTATTTTATATATCAGCTTGCATCGATCGATATTACATTTTTTTTTGCTGTGTGTTGTCTTCTTACCATTAGATCTTCCAAATTTCGTTGCAAATCGGATATCTGGTCCGCTTGATTATTGTTCTGCGAGTACAGATGATAGGCACAAAAGCTCGTGATAACACTAATCACAATACAACACAAATATTTAATGTTTTCACCTCTGGATTCTCGTTCAACTTCTCCACGGTAGTCCATTTTTTCTGTTGGTTGCCGTGTGTAAACTGTCTTTTCGAATTGGACGCCTGCTGGGTCGGTAATAATATTATGTCGACTGTATAAATAAAAATCTAAGCAAACAAACTGCATCAGGGGTTGAAGTGATCCCTTTCATCACCGAAACCGCATCGTTAGCCGAATGCATTTTGACATTTTGACAGATAAACAACTTAAACACGCAAAAAGTAGAACTAAAATGACTGCGGATGCACAGCGATGTGAATTTTACGTCAAAATATTGTGAATTTTTGCTCTTAAAATAGCATTATTTGGTGAACAAAGTGCTAAATTCGGTATCTTGGACATACATAAGTTGAAAAAGGTGCTATTGTGGTACAAATCGCGTTGGTCCTGCACTCAAATGTTGGAATACAGTGATTCCATAGGAATAATTCTGTGGCATGTCCATGTCTGATGAATAAAAATATTACAACTAAAAAAGTGATAACACAAGATCAAATGGAGGTTGTATGGTGCTGCTAGAATACGAAGTTCATATTACATCACAATCAACGTACAACACGCTGACACTGGTCAGTAGGGAGTCCCTAGCTTTAGCATGCTCGCTATGATGGACAACAACGACAATGAGAATTATTGCTACCAGCAGCCAAGTGCAAAAACCGGGAGTGTAAACAAGGGTGCGATACCGAAGGCGACCGCCTTCAAGTATCAGAACCAGTTCAACAACAATAACAATATTGCCGAGCAGGAGAACCTAATGCCGCATGCAAATGTGCCACTACAGAAGAGCACTGATACGGATGTACGCATCGGCAGCAATGGGCCCGGTACTTAAATCATATGCTTTACCGGATGGAGATCAAGTCTGTGGTTTCGTTGACTAACCAGATTCTTTATTTTATAATTTCAGAATCCTCAACACATGTAGCGGTCGCCGGTGTTCCGAAAACGGAATCCGAAGAATCCTTTCTCAATGGACAAAGAGAAGATTTATCAAGGGAAGATCCATACGCAAACGAAGATCTAATAGCTAAGTCACTGAATAACGAAGAAGCTGATCTGGACGGTGATTCCGACAATAATTCTCTCGGAAACCTTTCCTACATTAGCGACAATGGTTTGATCGAGGAAATCATATTGCTGCCGAATAATATCTACTCCGACGATGAAAACGGATCTGCCTCGGATGATTGCATCTACGCCTACAGAGGAGACGATAATGCTCCGGCAGTACTAGAATATCGCGAGCAACCCGCGGACGATGAGACTGATTTTTTGGAAATGGACTTTGACCCTGAACCCAGTTCGGAATTGGAAAATCTTCTTGAACATCCGGAAATTGATGCCAGCTCGTTTCAACCTGCACCGTTACCCGTGGAAAGGATTTCTCGGCAAGATATAGTCAAATCGCCTCTCAAAAGTCCGAGTTTTGGCAGAGATTCGCCAAGTCGGAGGCAATGTGAGCCTTTAGATGAACCAGATGGAGCCGCCACCGTCGTTGTATCTACGGTGCCCACAGAAATGAAAAAAACTGGAGCGATTCCCAAAAAACTTCCGACCTATTCTCAGCAATCCACCATGGAGGCACATGACTACGACCTGGCTGGACCGAGCAAACCGACAATGAGGGGGAATTCTAAAAATCTTAAATTGGATTTAAAACTGTGCACGGAAGGGAGCGGTGCTATGGATTATCGATATCAGTATCCTTACTACAATGATTCCGAGTATATCGCTGATGATGACGAGGACACGTGCTGTCTAGATTGTACGGAGAAAAAAGGTCTGCTTATGCAGACCAAACAGGACTTGAGTCGGCAGAAAGTTTGTCGGTCTTGCCACTCGAGAAATCTTCAGCACGGGGCAGCAGGAGGACACTCCACGCACTTGGGGGATTTCTTCGCAGATGTGGCCCAGTCGTTGAATACGAGCAACTCGGAAGCGGACCTAATGAGCGTCCGAGCGGAGCAAATTGTACTGCAAGCATTAAATAAAATCAACGAGCTGAAGGCAACTCCACCGAGCATGGGCTTATCAAAGAGTATGGAAGATCTGTGTGTCGAGCTGGAGGCAGAGCAGAGGGAACAGGAAATGCCAGATGATTTCGCGCAAGAGGTATGTTTAAGTAAAATTGCATAACTGACTGGATTATTTAATCTTCGTATATTTTGCAGCTTTGTGCTGATAACACAGTAACGATATACACTATGAATTGCGGAGAACTGACGATCATTGAAGCTCTGGTAAGCAGCAACAATCAATTAAAAGTAGCTAGGTTTTATCATTTTATCAAAGACGACATATCAATAAGATTAATAGCATTGCCAGAATCCAATGGAAAAATACAGTAGCACTGCTCAAGCCGAAACGAGGTGAAACCACTGATTGGCAAAATGCTAACAACAATATCTCGAAACATTTCAGTAGCGTTTCGGCCAAACGATTGTACGACTTTTCCCCGAAAACCAGTCCCCCGAAAACACTTTCCCCGAAAGTTATTGCCCCGAAATACAATTCCCCGCAATACAATTCCCCGAATGGCACAGTTCCCAGAAAATTATTTCCCCGAATCTGCGCATCTTCGCTGGTTAACTACTTGTATCGAACAATACCACAATAAACATATTAATGTGCGTCGAATAAAGACAATAGTTTGACTTTCGTTAAAACAAAATGTAAAGGTCAAGCTCCTGAAATCGGTGTAATCCTATTTCAGCAGCTTTTGACCTTTCCATGTAGTTTTAACGAAAGTCAAACTTTTGTCTTTATTCAACACATATTGATTTCTTCGTGCTCCATACAATTTTAGATTCACCCTATAAGGAGTCGCCATGTGACTAATATGTATGGCATGGGGACGCATGATATCTTTTCTTTGTTTGTATGGAGTTTTTTTTAACGGTCGTACCTATCAAACAAACACACACATTGTATGCAATTAGCTCCATGGATCATACCATATTATACGTCAAAGAATGAACTATGATTCAAAGAAGGAAAATTTCTTGCGACAAGCAAAATTTTCCCTTCTTTGTATCACAGCTCGTTCTTTAACGTTTTGAAGAATAAATATCTTACTAATTTATCAAAGCGATACCTCATTGAAATAAAATTGAAGAACGAGCCGTGATACAAAGAAAGGAAAATGATATCTCTTTGATGAAACCAATTAGATACCCTAATAAAAAATTACCATAAACGAACGATAACCCAAATGTGTGAACTATTCCACAAATGGTTTGGATGATACCCAGAACACGTCGTTAAGCAAATTAACCATAACATTTTTATTTGGGTAGATATTATGCGATACGTTAAGAAACGAGCTGTGCTACAAAGAAGGAACATTTCTTGAAACAAACAACGATTTTTCTTCTTTGTATAAGGGGTGAAATTATGTCACGCCCTAAGGAGGGACGTGTAGAAATCTGTGATTGATTAATTTTGCCTCAATTTCGCGTGACATAATTAATGTATGGCCCCTAACGGCTCGTTTTTTTTTAATTTGATTACGATTATAAACAAACAATTCACAGTCACAAATAAGCATACACATTGAATAAATGCTGTATAACAGTGTACAATGCTGAATAAAACAAGTTGTCGAATTATGTGCTGAAAAAAGCTCATTGAGATCGAAAGATGCGCCTTTATTAAGCCGTTTGCTCTGATATGATTAATTTACTTATTAAAAGCTTTATAAACGTTGACTGTCAGAACCAGAAATTTGATCTAATAACAAACTGAATAAGTGTAATTTTCACATACATTGTCGCTTTAATTCGACTGTTTTCAATTGCTTTAATAAAATGCTTTGTTAGACGTCTTATAAATGTTTTCTAGCTCCATTATTAGATTTCATTGCATTGCTTTACAATATTGCTGTATAAAGGTGAATACAGTCAGCAAAATAGCTCTTATACCACTATGCGTCCATGTTTTAGTTGAATGCTTTGCAAATGCTTTATAAATGACGTATTAGATTCATTATTCCACAACACTGCCCAAAAACAATTCAGAGTCACAAATAAGCATATAGATTGAATAAATGCTTTATAACAGTGTACAATGCTGAATAAAACGGGTTGTCAAATTATGTGCTCAGAAAATCTCATTGAGATCGATGATGCGCCTTTATTCCACTGATTGCTCTGATTTGATTAATATACTTATTAAAATCTATACAAACGATGACTGTCTTCCTGATTCAACACCAGAAGTTTGATCTAATAACATACTGAATAAGTGTAATTTGCACATACATTGACGCTTTAATCCGAATGTTTCAATTGATTTAATAACATGCTTTATTATACGTCTAATAATTGTTTTCTAGCTCCATTACTAGATTCCATTGCATTGCTTAACAATATTGCTGAATAAAGGTGAATACAGTCAGCATAATAGCTCTTATACCACTATGCGTCCATGTTAGTAGAAGGTCGCGAGTTCAATCCCAGCCTCAATCCTTTTTTTTACTTATGTTCTACTCCTAATTAAATTAAATCGTAATCATAAATCGTATCACTCACGGCAACCAATTCATAGATCTATAGAAAAGAATAACATCCTTTCCATCGAAATTAGAGAGATGGAGAGGTAACGTTGGTCTAATGTTAAACAACTATGAATGAATTAATCATTCTCACATCTCCTTGAATTAGCTAGAGTTACGGCTGGAAGTGCTGATAGGTTTTCAGATTCAAGCTTTTATTGCTTATTTAGCTGCTCATATGATGTATTTTAGGATAGCTCAGATGGCAAGGCAAGCGGCTGGTGATCGGAAGGTCATGGTTCAAATCCCATTTAACGACATGTGTGTGTATGTATGTATGTGATAAATTCGACAGAAATAATGTGACACAACAATCACTAACGAGAATAACCCTGCTCGTGCCGTTCTTATTTTCGGATTAATTATCCTGTAGTTGAATAATCGTTTAATAAATGTATAATGATGTAATAATTAAACATTGTTTCACATGAGAATCAAGCGTCTATATACACCTTTATACCATCGCTGTTTAAGGAAGTACAGATGTCTAATAAACGCTGAATAATCAAAAATTTGATCGAATAAGCTCTGTTACAACTTTTGTAAGTCGAATAAAAGCTTTCTAGACATACCTTATTCAACACCAAATATTTCGATGTTGTGGTTGAATAAATTCTCCAGATTTGTGTGAACAAAGCCTGAACAGAAGTTATTATTAAAAATAGTACAAGTATTATTAAGCATGAAGTGGAATAAAATCGTCAAGAAGTCGTTTCTTCAATAGGCAATTGTTTGTTGGGTAGATATCAGTTTTATAAATTAGTAAGATATTTATTCTTCAAAACGTTAAAGAACGAGCTGTGATACAAAGAAGCGAAAATTTAGTTTGTTGCAAGAATTTTTCCTTCTTTTTATCTTAGTTGATTATTTGACGTATAACTTGGTATGTTCCATGGAGCTAATTGCATACAATGTATGTGTGTGTGTGTGTGTTGGATAGGTACGAACGTTAAAAAACTCCATACTAATAAATAAAAGATACCATGCGTCCCCATGCAATACATGCTATAGTCAATTTGCGACTCCTTATAGGCCGAATCCAAAATTGTATGGAGCAAGAAGAAAACACCATACACCGATTTCAGAATATTCGGTAAAAAATTACAGGAAATCTGTGAAAAATCACCGAACTGTTTACCGAACGTTCAGCTGTTGAGATTTCGGTAAAATTTCACAGATTTCGGTGAAATAATCTTAGCGTGTGACCTTTACATGTAGTTTTAACGAAAGTCAAACTATTGTCTTAAGCGAACCCCACACGGTAAGAAATATTGTCAATACTTAAAAGTATTGACAATAATATTGATGATGTGAATACAGATATATTGTCAATACCGATGTATTGACGTCAATATAAAATGCATTGACAATACGATTATTGTCAATACAAACAGTCGTGTAGAGTCCACTTTAATTCGACACACATTGATATGTGTATTGTGGTATTGTTCGATACAAGTAGTTAACCAGCGAAAGATTTGATGAAACTGACGCAATTTTCCCTTCTTTATATCAAAGCTCAGTCTTTATGCTCATTACAATCAGATATCAATTTGATAAACCGCCAAATGTCATAACAAGTCATAACCACAAACTTTATCTAGGGTGTTGAACGACTTTGTTCGGTTTATCAATATTCAGCAAAGATATTTTTCTCAATTTCATATAGATAAGTTGTAACAAACCCAAGGATCATATTTAAATAGATCGCACAGTGTAAATTGTATCTTTCCCGAAAACTAGTTCTTTAGGGGAAATAGTTTTCGGGAAAACGTTCCTTTCGGGGAACTGGTTCATTCGGGGAATCGTATTTCGGGAATAAAACATTCGAGGAAAGTGTTTTCGGGGAACTGGTTTTCGGGGAAAAGTCGTACAATCGTCTAGTATTAGTAAGTCGAAGGCGATGAGTTCGATTCCCAGTCCGGTCTAGATAATCATGCGGGTTGAAAACTTCTCCGGGCTATTCAACTTTTACTTGCCACCTTAATTCCATACCTTATATTTATATCAGTCAGCGTCACTTTCTGATATGTTGCCTTCGGCTTAAGACAAATTGATTGATATCGGGTATGAACATAATCGTAGAAGCCTAGCTGATACTAATCCACCCCACAGACTAGAATCGGAGTCGCTCCAAACCTGGACGTCCTACGGCAATATTTCAACGAGAGGTACACGGTAGATACGGGCAAAATGAACATCCCCCAGTTCCTGCTGTACATGTCGAAACGTGATTGCAACTTTAGGAAGTTGATCGAAGCTATTAAATCGTGCTGCGACGAGCCTTTGGATGTGCAGTACTATCCGGTAGATTGATCCTTAAATTGAAACGATTGTATGTCACTCATCTAACAATTTGTCTTCTCCAGTTGGACCCATTCTCCGACACTCCTGAAGTGGTACCGATCAATTCTGCTGAGATCACTAAACGATGGAACGCCAACACCAACCTTCGACAGATCATCAACTTCAAACACAAACACTTCCACACGTTGAATGTGCTTGGTTAGTTTTCATCGAGTTTCGAGTTTGTCCTGCAATTGTTAACGATTGCACTTTTTTTGTTTTTTTTTTATAGGTAAAATTGTTAACATCCTACGGCAGCCATCGCGGGGTCGGCACACAAACCAGATCATCAATATTCCTCAGTACTACAAAAGTGGCTCCATTACGATAACCAGGATAACCTAAGTTATTGAACTACTATAGCTTCAAAATTAAATCCAGCTCTAAAACTCTCTCTGGTTCTTCTTTAATCAAGCACTGCTTCTCTAAAAACTCATAATTTTAGGACCGAGGCGTTACAAAGATTCTCAATTAGTTAGATACGTATCAATTATGATAGCGATTAGAAAGCATACTGGCACAAACTACGTCAGGTATTAATTTATTAAATTTCGCTTTGGCTTTCCTATTGTGAAAATAAAAATGTACTATCTTGACTTATGTAAGATTATTGTACCGTAAATTTACATAATTCTGCGCAGTTTTGAAAAATTAAAAAAAAAAGAGCTACAACTGCTTAATTGAGTTTGATATGTAGAGCGGAATTATTCACTCATACTTATACAACATACTGCTAAATTTTGTCAAAAACTAAGAAGCGTGATACACTAGACGTTGAGCAGAATTATGGCACTTGACGGTATATAAGTTTTCGCACGTCAATACTTTACGTTTAACATTGTGTAAATATAGATTGTACACTATTTATTACAACTAGCGTTTAGTATACCGCATATCCTTGTTAGAATGTATACACCGGGAGAATGATTTAGTTACGACCTAGGATTTAAATAGGATTACCACGTGTTTCTATCAATGTATATCCCAGTTTACGAAAGGGCAAAAGGGACAGTTTACAATAAGCAAAGCCTTGCAGCAGGTTGAAGCAGACCGGATTTCCTATTTCAATCACCGCAACAATTTACTGGTTGAAATATTTATACGCAGACAGCAATTTGTATCACCAACTACAACTAACAACAAGTTACACCTATCACGCTGAATATCTTACAATTATACCATTGCTGGAAACAAAATACAATAACAGTTACAATTTGAAACGATTTGTTTTGGTTAAAGAAAAGGCATCTTGAAGAAGTCATGGCTATTAGCTTTCAACTTTTATTCTTTAGTTGTTGCAAGTTCAATCCGGATCAAGTGCGAAAACGTGAGCATCGATTGGTAATGTTCTTCGGATTGTGCGACCCTCTTTTTTTTATTGAAGGCAATGATGAAAAACGGAGAGAAATATTATATTCAGGTGAGTGGTTAGGAATTTAAGGGAGTAAATTTTCCCCGTATGAATGCAAAGTACGTACATATCGTCTTTTTCGACACTACAGCTCATCTTCCACTTAATCTAGAAGCTATCGGTTGCGACAAAAAGACAAACCCCGACCTGGATTTAAACAAGATGGAAGTGGGACTGTAAATGGTTGTTAATTTAATTAATGAAAATTGTAACCTTTTCGTTTCCGATTTTACGTAGGCAAAATCCACAGCGGAGATTGAAAATGAAGACTGTTCTTCCCAAACGAGGTCGACAAAGCTGGTAGGAGCGATTTCTGAGACTCAACTGGAAGTACCAGCGAATACAACGTGCAATGCCGTTAGCATCCATCCGGCTGCCAGTAACCGGTCAACGTTCAAACCGATGGACCCCCGTCCAAAATCGATCGTTCGATCCCCAATGAAAAGATCGAGAATGAAGACAGCTGTAGGGTCCTGAGAAGAAACAGTTCACATGAAAGAGAAAAGACCTTTTACAGGAGAGAGAGAGAGAGTAAGATAGAAGGAGACAGATAGAGAGAAGGGGTATGGGAGAGTGGTAGCGAGAGGACGCGAGTTTGAAACAGGAGGCGAAAAAACTGGAAATAAAAGCGAACAGTCAAAGTTAAATTAAAGAATCGTACTATTATTTCTTCATCCGGATCAACCCACTACAACAGCCACGATGTCAACATGACCGCTATAAGCCTCGAAAGCGACTAATAATCATATTTTTTTATACACCAAAAATCTGAATCGAGTTCCAGCAAAATTAATTGCTGAACTGCTTCCAGCAAAAACATTTCTTGCTGAACAAAGTGCTGTCAGTTTGACTTTGGGCCTAATTGCTGGTGGTTCAGCAAATAGTATTTTGCTGGATGGATTGCTGAACTTCCAGCTCGGCAAAATCCAGCAAAATATTGCTGAATTCCAGCAATAAAAAATGGGTGTGTAAGGAGACTTTCAGCCCTGCGCTGGTTCCTGTAATTATAATTTATTATAGGTATATTATATTAGGTATTAGAATTAAAAATTAAAAATAAAGTTATTGTGTCCCTTTCCGTTTTTTTTTAACTCTTTATTTGTTCCAAATTCAAAATAAATTACATTTCATTTTTAACCTACACACCCATTTTCATCGATCATCATGGTAACGTCTAACGTTGGTCTAACGCTAACATTTTTCCTTTTGGGGAGCTGCCATCGCCAATTCTAAATAAACTTTTCAAAAGATCCTATCTGCTTTGATCGATTCTCTTCATCGAATTTCTGTTTCGTCAATAACTCAGCTGCAAAACCTTTCCCTGTTGTATTTGACGTTTTGGACGCTAGATAAAAACCTCCTTTATCAAACTATGTGGTAGAATTAGCGCGAAATCTGTTTGCATAGCAGTGGTTATAAAAAGAGAAAGTCGATGAAGAGAATCGATCAAAGCAGATAGGATCATTTGAAATGTTCATCGAGAATTGAGATAACTGCTCGATTATCCCAGAAGGAAAAATGTTAGCGTTAGACCAACGTTAGACGTTACCATGATGATCGATCTGCATGACTCGAGTCGATCGGGGTGAATGTGCACACCAAATTTAAGTTTTCAATATCAGTAAAACGGATTGCTGGATCATGACCAGCAATCCAATGCTTTACTGAAAAACAGCAAACGATATTTTTACTGAAAACATCAGCTAACATAAACTAACACCCAGTAAAAGAGCTGTCAAACTGTTAGCATCACATTTGCAAGTATTTTTGCATTCTTACACCACCATTCAAACCGCAGGAGGAGGAAGAGCCTCGGGAAGAGCTAAAAAAACTACAAATAGATAAAATTATGTAGGTAAGGACACTGGTTATATTTAATAAACGATACTTGAAAAGGAATCTGGCGATTTTATCTTTATTATTCGTATATTTACAGAAGCTGGAAGCTCATACAGTGAACGCAAATTCGATTTACTGAATTTAATTGTTTAATCAGCAAAATGCAGCCAAATGTCAAAATTTTTAATTGCTGAATGATCAGTAAAAAAATATTGCTGATTTTCAGTAAAAGGTTGTCATTTTGACAGAAGTTGGAACTGCTGAAAAATTCAGCAGCATTATTTTGCTGGAACGTTTGCTGATCTTTCATCAAGTCTAAAATCAGCAAAATTTTGCTGATATTCAGCGATTTAAATTTGGTGTGTGGGGTCGATTTATGCTCGAATACTGTCATTCTAAATAAACATTTCAAAAGATCCTATATGAATTCATCGATTTTCTTTCGTTAATAACTCAGCTGCAAAACCTTTCCCTGTTGTATTTGGAAATCTGGACGCTAGATAAGAATCTCATTTATCAAACTATATGGTAAAAAAAGTGCGGCATCTGTCTGCATAGCATTGGTTATCTAAAGAGAAAGACAATGAAGATAATCGATCAAAGCAGATAGTACTTTTTGAAATGTTCATCGAGCAGGTTTGTGATTGGTTCGCGAATGCCGGCGCCGGGAAATCATTCGAAGTGTTTATTTCGGTATACCTAAATGTTTTAAATCAAGTGATAAACATTGTTTTCTTTTGTCCGTCGAAACTAGACTACGTCCAGCACAATCCGAGATTCGTCGAAATACGTTCTTATTTTGATGCTGTTCAAAATTTGAGTGTTTTTATGGTTTTACCTGGACGTGGTAGAGACAGAAGTGTATCCGCCGGTAGAGTTCCCAGCAAAAAAGGAAATCGGCACACATCTTGAAAACATTGATCTGGTGCTAGACGATACGGTGAAATTTCTGTGGGATCCGGAGAGTAACTTGACGGAGAAGACGCTACGTCTGGAAATAGTGACATGCTTGGTTGATTTGCCCCCAGGAGAGTGTGGAGCTAGTACAAAATCATTCCGTTGAGGATCGACGTTGTTTCATACGGTAAGTTGACGCTGGTAATGGGACCGCAGAATTCTTCTCCAAAGTGTTCTACCAGAAACCAGATGTGACAGAATAAAAATATTCGCATCGAAAGATTCACTCGGCTGGGCCACATATTGCGTGCGGGGATTGTAATTAATCGTAATTAGAACGTCAATGTCGATGACCACCTGCCTAATGACGAGCGCCAGTTTCCCTATGGGCAGTGTGGGAATGGGAAGCCTTCGTAATGTTCCATCTGTATTGACTTGAGTTTTCCAATTCGTAGACGGCCGGTCGTGTATGAACAACTGTGTGGAAGGCCACTTGTTGTTTTTAACGCAAATCGTTCCTTGTGTGTTTTTCGACATGCTGAGCAGTTCTTCAAATTCCGCAACTGATTGAAGTATATTCGTCACCGCCACAAAAAGGAAAGTCTAGCAATCTTGTATCATCTAGCTCAGTGCGGATCATGTTCAAAAACTATGGGCTGGATCTTGATTTTCGTGGAAGACTTGACTGTTTTGAGTCCTTTCGGTCCTTTAGACGTGCTGGGTGTTAATCAACAGCAGCCGTCAGTATCAATTGTGCAGGGAAAGGTGGGAATAATTGTTATGGGTGCAAATGGACTTCTGTTGTGTTGTGTGCTTCTTTGAAAGGTAATTTTGATTTTAGTTCTGAAGATGTTCTATAATAGCCTCTGATTATTTGCAGAATCTAACCTACTCGTCGAGATAATCTCCGATGTTGTCAGTAAACTTCCATTACATGTGTCGCGACGACGTATTTACGCTACTGATCGGCGTCGAAACCGGGATCCGGTCATTAACACGGAGAACAAAATTCTAAACCGTGAAGAGAAATTCACAAGAAGGTTAGTTTTTATTTATTCCAGGATAGTAGATCCTATCCTAAATTTTCCTTTTTTCAGGTGGTATTAAATTCCTTCTAGTTTGTGTACGACATTAAACAGGCGAAATTGTGGAGCAATACCACCGTAGTTTCCCAGTTTTATCAATGGTGGATACACAGGAACCACAACATGAGTCAACTATAAACGATAGAATGTTTCGAAAATGCTTCAGCTACAGCGGAGGGACGAGTCGAAGAACCCTCTCGATTAAGATTCCATATGGCGGATAGATTCAGAATGGAGGTGACGCTACTAATGGTAGCAATAAAGTCAGAAACAATTAAGTGACTCAGAAACTTGTTAGCACCATGCAGTAGTGATAGTTTCTAACAACCTAACCTGAATAACGTACACGACACTTGATCTTCGTTGACGTCGGCGTCAAAACCGGGATCTGGAAAGTGGAATTGAACATAATTGACGGAGGTGAGGCGATCTAGTTGGAACATTTGAATTGCAACTCCTTATTAATGAGCACTATTCTTGTAGGTCAATGATGTGTTTCGTAACGTGTATAAGAGTGGTAGTGTGAAGCGATGGGCTAACACGCAGTCCGTACGGCCGTATCATCATGAACAACGATAAACAATGTTGCTACGTGGATGAGATCGTTCGTGACACCCCCTCGGAGTTGAGAGGCTCAACTTTACGAACTACAACAAAATACCATACAGCTCTGACGAGTACAACGACTACACCAACATTACGATATTTGATATGCAAGTACTTCTGGTTGCAAGTTATCTTCCGAGAAGTTTCAAAAACTTCCAACCAATTATTAATTAACAAGATTCTCAGATAGCTAAGACATGTCAAAGAGCATAATAAATTTTCAAGAAATACCAAGAACTTTTTGGAAATATCAAGAATTTCAGTGAAGTTCCAAAAACTTTTAACAAAATCTAAGAACCTACGATAAGTTGGAAGAACTTCCGAGAAAATTTTAATAAGTGCAAGTTTCAGAAAACTTACAAGAGCTTCCAAGAACCACCGA